CTGCGGTCCCGGGCCGGGACCGACCCACTTGCCACCCTTAAGTTAATCCTTCATCCACCTGACCACCTCTATATTAATATTTTTTAGGCAAAATACATAAACAACCCTTTTAAGTTGTCCTCAACGATCAACAGATACCTTAAGTGACCACTTTACCAATTTAACACTTCAAGTGACTATTATGTGTACCTCGCAAACATCCGAGTCCGGCAAGCCATATACATGAAGTACACTCTCTAATGACATGTCAAATGAACCAATTAAAGAATGACACATGTAAATTATAATAAAAAATTACACAAATGTAATTAACCAAAATCAAATAAATTTAAAGAAACCAAAAATATTTTTTACTACTATTAACTAGACCGCTGCCGCCCCCCTCTTATTCCTCTTCTTCGTTTGCCTTTCCCCATCCTCCCCCTCNCAACAATTTAGAGGCCCAAATGGTTTTAGAGGAGTTTGAGTTTCAATGAAGAATTTTTCGTTCATCTCATGCGTTTTACAGGATAATCAGATCTGGACATCACGTGTTGTACGCTGCCATTTAAGGAAACATTGGAGGTCTTCTTCTCTGAAAAATGGAGTAAGACCCAAAAGAAAAGGCAACACAGCAAAATACATTTGTCTCACCAGAAAAAAAGGCCATAGCTTTTAGAGCACCCATCTCTCCATTTTTATTTTTTTCTTTCATTTTTAACTAACTGAAACTCCACCTTAATACCATGAAAGAGACCACTAAAACCAGTCATCCTGGCATCCATTTTTCTAAAAACCTGCGAAGACCCAACAGCTCTAGCGATGAGTGAAAATTGTCAAAAATGGGATTGAATTTTTGTGGGTGGTCAGTGAAATTATTACAGTGTAGTGGATGTTATTAATTATTATTACTTTGAAATTGAAGAAGAGGAGATGGATTAATGGTAGAACGTGGAGGTGCTACTATTGCCATATTTAGGGCAGGTAAATTTGGTGGTGAAGATGAAATATTTTGGGAAGAAAGTGAAATTAATGTGTGAAAAATAAAAAATATAGTTGGACCCACATAAAAATTATGGTGGTCCACATAAAGTAAAGCTAAATTTTTTTTAAAAAAGGAAAAAACTTAATTTTGAGGTTCACGCACTTAGAATTGAATATAAAGAACACACTTTGCCATGTCAGCGTGAAAGATTTACGAGGTACACCTAATAGCCACTTGAAGTGTTAAATTGGTAAAGTGGTCAGTTGAGATGTCTGGCTGATCGTTGAGGACAACTTAAATGGGTTGTTTACCTAGGTCTTTCTCAATAGTAGTTTGAGTATTAATATCACCATCATTTGTTGCCCTAGCACCACTATAAACATTATCTATCTCACCTACTTCTGGCCCAATTAGTAAAGCTGCCTGGCCCATAGTTTCAACCACCTCTGGCTCATTAACCACATGCAGCACATACAAATCCAAAAAATCACAATGTATTAGGGTTTTTACAATGTCTAACAGATGAGAATCAGATTCAACCTTGAAAAGGTCATCACTTTTTGAGGTTCTATAATAAAATTCTTCAACAGTGGGAACCCGAAATATTTAGTATAATATATCAATTTCATCATCGAAAAATGATCTTTATCAATAGGAAAAACTGCTTCGGGTTCCTTTTCCCCGACATAGGCTAGGCCCCCCATCATTGATAAATACACTCCCATAGTGAAAGAGTGTTATAATATAATTATCCATAAGATTCTCTCAAAGAAAACCCCAAAAATATATCACCAAAAACTAACAGAATATTTCGAAGGAAATTCCCCAAAAAACCCCAACTTTACAGAGAATTTCAAAAACCCTAAAATTGATCAATGCATTCTACATAAAGGGCAAAATAATACCTCTTGAGTCATAGACAATCCAATAACATTAGTCGTTGACAGTCTTCCCAAAAAATTAACTCGAATCTTCAAATCGTAATCGATAACTTCCGCAAAATAACCGTAAATAAACATACAACCCACAACATACGAAAGAAGAGATGATTTCAGTGATAAATTGAAGAGAATAAACTGAAAATATTGTAAGAATCAAAGGTAATTGATGGAATTTTTCTAGGGATTTTTCGGACCTCTAATCGCCATTCTTCAATTGGGGTTAACAGGGAGAGAGAACGGGTGCCTACTTAGTAATGAACGGGTCTTTAATTTTTTGCCTACTTAGAAATCTGATGTGGCGTATTAAAACAGTTGGCGTCTTTTAATTAGTTAGCTTTCCACGTCAGTTGCGCTTAAAAACACGCGCTTCACTTGATATAATACCTAGCCGAGTAGTTAGCTATTTGTGCCCAATAGATATGGTTATGAACATAGTATTATGTTCAATTGGAACAAAGTTAAGTTCAAGTGTCTAAATGGGATTTTCGGGCAACTTTAAGGGTCTATATATGTATTTTTCCTTTTCAATATAACAGATACATTTCTACTTAACTACCGGTTATAAATACCAAATATTTGACATGTAAGCTTGTAAGCCGGACTTGAATATAAGCTAATATTTGTTCTATAAATATTATGAATGATGTAATTTATTGAGATTACGCTGTCAAATAAATCCAAATAACTATAATGACAAGGAGAGGCAAATAGATCAAGATACAAAGATATACGTTAATTTTTAAATTAATCAGTATGATAAATCAAGAAAAATAAGAGTAACGAAACACTTATAAAACTACGGAAAATGTCCAAATATACACATGTATTATGAGAAAATATTTAAATATACCCCTCGTTATACTTTGGATCTAAATATACTCTTGTCGTTATACTATTTGTTCAAATATACCCATCTTTCGTTAATTTTATCAAAGGTGGACATCCAATCCTATATTTGATGAGGTGGATGCCCCTAACCTATTTTACTCATCCCTTTTATTTATTTAAACTGTTTTTTCATAGTACATGTATTTGACCCTTTTCCAATAAACTATAAATTTTTTGAAAACTGCTAAAACAAAAACCAGCTAGAACTTGTTTTATGCCTAATTTGATTTGGTTGATATTCATGCTAACTAGCGCTATTTAAATGTACAGACGCAATCTAATGGTAAAAACTTAGTACATAATTTATTAGTCATATATCTATCTATACTATATTAAAAGCACGAACGCCCTTAGCGAAATATCGTTCACCTTTTTTACCCTTTAAAAATAGATTTTATATTGGACAAGATTGTAATTTAAATTATTTTTCTAATATTTAGGACCTCAAAATTGATTAAAATCTTAATTATTAATTTTTTTCTTTTTTGAAACATTTATAGAGTCTTAATATTTAGGACTTTAAAATCGATTAAGATTTACCTTACATAATTTCTTTTCCTAATTAAAGTGTGTAACATATTTATAATTAGTAGTACCAAAATTAGAAAAATTTTAAGGCTAAACATTAACTACCACTACTTGTCAAGAAGACACGTAGAAGGAGTTCTTGAGCATAAAGTTTTTGAAAATTAAGTATAATTTGTTTATGTTGTTTTCCTAATATTTAGTATCTTGAGATCAACTAAAATTTTGTTTATTAAATTTATCCTTTTTATTTGAACTAAGTCCTTATATTTAGGATTTTAATATCAATTAAAATTTCATCAAAATTAATTAAACTTTTTTATATAAATTATCTATATCTATATCTGTTTATATATTATATATTATATTAAAAGCACGAAACCCCTTAGCAGAATGTCGTTCGCATTTTTTACTCTTTAAAAAATAATTTCACATTAGATAAAAGTGTAAATTAATATTTTTTTCTAATATTTAAGTGAAATACATTAAAATTTTGGTATTAAATCTTTTCTTATTTGAACTATGTAGAAACTCCTAATATTTCAGCTATATAAATTTATTTCTTAAATTTCTAAACATTAAAATTTACTATTGTAAACTACACATAAGCACATTAGGACGAGTAAGAAAATATCTTTAAATAAACGACATGCTTACGTTTAAAATTAATAATAATTCATAGTAATAATATATATAAACATACTTTAATTTTTTATTTATATATTGTAATATATGGCTATATTAAATCACAAACCCAATTACAATATTTGACAAGATAAACATACATAAGATACTTAAATTTATATATTGAAATTAGCAGTAAACTATACTCTAATTTATAAGAAATGTAAGATCGTTTAAATTATAACTTTCTACATAAATTTTTAAAAACTATGCTTATTTAAGTAATATAGGAAGTCAAATAATATTACTGATGTGATTTTTTAAAATTTATTCACGCGCAACACGCGTACTATAAGACTAGTATATATATATAACCAGTATCCATAATTTACTACTTCATACTTTAATATTTAATCGATAAAATTAATTATTTGGATAGAATTGCAGCTCGCGTTTGGATATAAATTTAGTTGAAATTTGAAAAAATTGAGTGTTTGAAAATGAGATAAAATATAGGCTTTAAAAGTTAATATTGTGTTTGGATATATATTTATTTGGAAAAAAATTAAAGTTCTATTTGAAGATTTTATTATCGATAGTGAAGTCCTTGATTTAACGTCGCTTTAAAAGAAAAGAGAGTGGGGGAGACAGAGCTATAATCCACTCTCTTCTCTATTCTGTAGACTAATACCCTTTGCGGCTTTGCCCTAATCGCCTAAACCCTTTACCCTTTCAAATGGCTAAGAAGCATACCGAGGAGCAAGTAGAATCCGGCGACGAAATGGAAGTTTCTTCCCCAGGAAACGCAGATTCTGAATCTGGATCTGAATCAGAATCAGAGTCAGAACCCGAACCCGAACCCGAGAAACAACAACCACCCCTGAAAAAACCACCAGTTGCCGCTCCGAAGAAGCCTCAACCACCTGAAGATTCCTCTTCTTCTGCAGAGGAATCCGGGTCCGGGTCTGAGTCTGAGTCTGAATCAGAATCCGAACCTGGAACCCAGAAACCAAACCCGGTTATAGTAAAACCCTTAGCATCCAAACCCATGGACGACTCAAAAAAATCTGCTCCCAAGCCTAGATCCAAACCAAATGCTACTGCCAAACCCACTTCTCCTCCTCCGGCGAAGTCATCCGCCGGTGCCGGAGCTAAACGGCCGGTGACGGTGCACGATGGGGAAACAAAGGAATCTAAGAGGTCTAAGAAGACACCCAAAAAAGAGATTGAAACTCCAGTGAAGCAAAAAACACCCACTGAGGATGTGAAAAGGCAGCTTTTTCAGAGATTATGGAGTGAAGATGACGAAATTGTTATTTTAAAGGGCATGATTGATTACAGGTCCAAGAAAAAATCCGACCCGGTTGCTGATTTGAGTGCGTTTCATGAATTTATAAAAAAATCTTTGCATGTAGACGTGAGTAAGACACAGTTGCAAGATAAGATTAGGAGGTTGAAGAGGAAGTATGAGAACAATGCTGGGAAAGAGAAAAAAGGAAAAAAGGAGAGAACCTTTTCAAAACCCCATGAGCAAAAAACTTATGAATTGTCCAAAAAGATTTGGGGTAAAGAGAAAACTGATAATAAGGGTGAGAAAGTTGAAGAAGTTGATAGAGTAGTGGAGAATGGAACAACTTCAGAAAAGGGGCAAAGTAAGAGGGAGGGTCAAGATAATGTGGTATTGGAGGACGCAGTGAAGGAAGATGAGGAACAGAGTGCTGATGTGGTGAAGAGGGAGAAAAATATAGGGCTTGCTGCACAGAATTTGAGTTTGGTTTCGTGTGAGAGAAGTGTTGCTGAACTGGAGAAGTGGCTTGAAGAGAATTCTGGGTTGATTAGTATTGAGAAGAGGAATGAGATGAAGGAAAAGTTGACCTCTTTGAGGTTAGCTGAGTTTGACTTGTGCTTCAGGAGGGTGGAGCTGATTACTGAGCAGGGGAAGCTGGTGCGCGAAGCTATGGAAGCTTCGGGGATTAACATCTTTCAAAAGTAAACTAATTTAGGGTGAACTTGCTTTTCTAGTTTTGTTTCTGTTTGTAGTTCTGTTAATTGCTAAATTTGTGTAGTTTAGCTCTCTGCATTGACAAGTAGCATATTTCTTTATATAAAATTGGAGTTTGTTATGTGTGATTTGCTTATTGGGTATAAACCATATGTTGTCCAGTCTCGCTGTCTTTAGTTGTCACAACAGCTTATTTAGCATTTGAATGTTTGCTTTAATGGAATCTCTTCAATGTGAAATTTATAGGGTTTCATGTTGTTGATTTTGCTGATTCATGGGTTAACCGAATCATAGTTAGTGTTACTCAAGGGCTTCTACTTTGACGCAGTCATTTATGTTGGTGTATGAGGATATATGAATTAGCTTCGGTAAACTTCCTTCTGGTATGCATCTTTGTATGATGCAATATGGCCAGGAACCTATTGGTTTCCTTGTATGACTAGGGATGTCAAAAAGAATGCTGTTAACAACAACCATTTTGATGTGGTTCTTTGCTCAGCCTTTCAGGTAATACTTTAGGTGAATGTAGTTCTTTTCTCTTTACATCAAAATTTCTTCAAATAATAATCTTTAAAAGGATTTGAACTGCCTCTAGATCCTGACAGTTCGATATAGTGTATTTTCATGAGAAGTCTGTGCAAATATACTTTACTCAAGACACTTAATAGTAATAATATGTGGAGCTCCCCATCGGTTGGGAATTTTTAAATGGTTCTCCTTGTATGGTCTTGGGCAATACTCGCCTCTCGAGCTAGCTTTTGAGGTGGAGTTAGGCCACATGTCCATTTTCTTATCATAAATATGTGTGGAGCAACGGAGGGTTGACGTGAAGAGGTTGTCTAAAATGCCAATTTAAAGTAAACATCAATTTTTGATAGATGAATGCTACTGTATTTTACTGGCTTATTTTTAGGAACTATAAGGATTCTAGTACTGAGCATAGGTACATTTGGCTAGTTAAGGGGATAGGACTGCTCCTGCTTTGCTAATGTGAAGTTCTTGATGGAAAGAGTTCTTTATCCTGGAAGTTCTTTCATTTTGGTTGTTTCTGAGACAATGATATGGATAAGTAGATCTTGATGAATGTCAGGTGCTGGAAATTTGATGCTGTGTCATCAGACATTTTTGGTATTTCTCATTTCAGTGCCTTGCTCCACAAGGTTGGTTGTCATTACTGATGCTGCTAGTGCGAGTTCTTTGGTCTGTTCCTTAAGACTTGCAGCTTAAAACCAAGCAATTGTGGGTTTGAGTTTAGTTGACATAGTCTATCATTTCTTCAGCATTACCATTATTAGGATATCGACCCTACTACTTAAGTTATCATTCAAGAATACTTGGTGCCCTTTAGGAAATTGATTTAAAATTTAAGGATGTTGCCTTAGTTTGACCCGGTTCGTAAATAGTTTGACCTTGTATTCATCTCTCTCACTCTCTCTTGTGAATTGGAAAGAATGAATGCCAACAATATATGAGAAAAATCCTACATGCACCTTCTACTTCGTCTTTAAATTTGGAAGTGGAGTGCCTTCATAAAAGCCTGGTATCTTGAGTTCCTTCTGTTTGCACTCCTAATGTAGTTCTCTCTCTCTCTCTCTCTCTCTCTCTCTCTCTCTCTCTCTCTCTCTCTCTCTCTCTCAGCAAGTATTTCTGCTAGTTGCGTCTCCACATAGACATCTATCTCTCTGGTTGGCACTATCCACTATCCAGTCCATTCTCTTTCCACCAATTTTGATTAGGAGTTCTGTTTTTGGCTTTTGGTATATATGCTACCCACTGAAGTTATCTCTGGTTCTAGTTATACCCAAATATTTCATAGACTTAGGCATACCAATTATTGCATGGCGCAGATTGCTGCCCTAGAGGCGAAGCTTAGGGGCGATTAGCTCATGTTGGAAGGAATTTATCGTATGCACTCTCTACTCAACGGTCAAGAAAAATTGTTGCTTTTCCTTTGGTGCATGTCTACCCAGAATCGTTCATGATGCCTTTTCTATTTGTTAGTCACAATAATTCTATTAGGTCTCTTATGGTTTTAAATAAATGAATCGGTAAAGGGACAAATCGTAAAAATGTAAGGTGAAGGTGCAAATCAAATATAATTTTTTTGCTTGGTGCATGCATAAAGGGTGCAAGATGCAAAGGACTGTAGAATCTGCCATATATAAGGGAGCAAAATACCAGATAGAGAACTGACAACCATTGTTATAACCCATTAATAAAGATTTTCAGAACTTGAGGGCACGCAATCGTGCAGTTCTCATAGTTCTCTAAACTTACGAGCATGCAGCACAGAATAATGGCGATAATTGCTAGTTTCGTCAATAAATTATCGTTTATTCAATTATACATCTAGGTATATCCTATTTAGGCTGGTGCATGACAAGATAACCTTAGACAAGTCCTACCACTGAGGCAAACTCACTTTTTGAAACCAGCTTTCCCTGGAAGGAAAGACAGGTTTTCCTTGTTTCTATCATAAAAATCCTTAAACCAGGTTATTGAGATCTTATATTTCTATTACTCGCTCGATTAAAACTATAATCTTCTTCGTATAATGAGAACAATGGCTAGATATTAGGCATGAGCTAGGAGGTGGCACATGCAATGTGAGAGGAGCTAAATATAGGGATGGAAAAATAAGCATTATTTGTGTGATTAATCATCAGTTCGAATCGTTTATAAAATGTGAACAATAGATGATTCATCACGAGTAAACTACAAGAGACTGATGCGTGAAATTGTACTTACGAAGATGATAACTCAATAAGAGATGATCCAAAACAACTTCTTTTGTAGGTGCGAACTCATTGAAGGCTTGAGCTAGTTCCAATAAGCACGCCAAAATTTATTGATAACAAAAATGGAGTCCCCATTCATTTGGGAATTCAGATGCAGCAAGGACGAGAACAATTGGGCACCACAACTTACAATGGTCCGGGAAAGGTGCCATTCTCTCTTTGCTCATTCCATCTGTCAATCTGCAGCCATTATCAAAAGCAACGAACACATGAAGCTGATAACATGAGATTGTAAGGGCACATAAAATAGAATTACCATCAGAGCTAAAAGTTTACGAGTTAAGAAGATATCACGTGTTAGCCAGAAAAACCGCCTATGTGTTAGCCAGAAAAACTATCTAACAAATGACAAGGTCTTGCTTCAGATAGTCCTTATTTGGTAATATTTTTATTTTTGATAAGGCCTATTTGGTAATACTTGTTTAATCTTGTTTTAGGCTCACTAAAATTGCTGTGCTCCGCAAAAAGATATCCTCACTCAAGCATTTGATCATTCACTACTGGCTACATCTGACTTACACGATTAGTACTAGGGATCATAACTGTAAACTCTCGATAGTGCACATCTCAGCCATGTCCACCACAATCACTACCCGGAGAATACTTAAATTGCTGACTTCACTCACGGTAACTCCACCAGGAAACTGCATCACTACATTGCTACGCTTGAACCCTCAACCGAGCTAACATCAAGGACATATCAAGACCAATACCAAGTTCTCCTAGTAATTTCATGACTACCACATTGCTGACAACAATGCTCCAGCCATACACACCAGAATGCCACTACTTCATCATTTAATTCCAAACTTTCACCACCACCTTCCAGGGTGTATATATAATCAAGACAATTTTACATGAAAGCGCGCTATGAAGAAAGTTCTGTAAAAATCTATATATTGGAATGCGGGGCTGGGGTTAGGATGTCATCCTGGTGGTTACTACTTGATCGCTTCCTAATTCAGTTAAATAGGATAACGTCTTGGGTCTCCTAGGATGGCCCTATGGATTTAAATCCACAAGCACAAGTCTTTTCCTACAGTTACAGCAAAAAGCTTGAAAAAGCAAACTCAAATGTCAATGGATGTGTTTTCCCATTTCAGCTGATATGAAATACTGCCCAAGAAATCATGCCCCCAGATTTGGCACAGCTCGGATCTCCTATATATCAAAGACAGAAAAGTATCCATCTTCCTCTTTAATGCAGGATAATGAGAGCAGGTCTCTAACTCCTTCCTACCCTTCTCCCTCCCCATCCCTCCTTCCCTCCCATATTTGGATTTATCCAACTGCCTGTGACAAGTGTCAACCAATCCCTCCTTTCTTCCCTAGACTCACTTGTTTTGTTGTCTATAATTCACGAGATCTCAATCAAAGCTTCACCATGCCTCCCCTCCTCCCATCCAGAAATTATGATAATTAAGTTTTGCATTACAATTCCAACATTACATGTTCATGAACCATCGGACCACCTTAGTGATTTAAAGTTATTACATGTTCATGAACCATCGGACCACCTTAGTGATTTAAAGTTATTACATGTTCATGAACCATCGGACCACCTTAGTGATTTAAAGTTATTACATGTTCATGAACCATCGAACCACCTTAGTGATTTAAAGTTCTAACAGTTTCAATTTCATAATGTCAAATCCACATAAAAATCTAAATCTGTCCATCCACTGCTCAATGGGAATTCCGTCTCATTAGTAGACGCCTAATACATAATTCATCCCATATTTGCCAAAAGATTAGTTAAACACGGGAATCAAGATGATTTAGCATACTTCCAAAAGCATATAACTATGAAGACCCAAAGCTATAAAACAAACATACCCATTCACCAGGGCAAAGGGAACGGTAGTACTTGGCAAATTTGTCACACTCAGGTGCACCTTCACCCTTTGCAGCTACACAGCTGAAAGACAAATCAATTGTACATAAATGAAACTTTATTACTCCAATCGATTTAGAATACAAGACATACAGAAAGAAACACAAAAGGAGGAATGGCTAGTATAGCTGTGTTTACTGACCGATGATATTCGACATATCTGGTAAAGCAGTGCCTTGTCTGATTTGTAGTAGGGAAGCGGAAGTCAGCAGGCGCTGTCTCAAGCTGATTGCCAATCATAACATAAACAACAGAATACCGTCAATGCATATCAGCACTAGTAAAAGGAGTCAACACTAATGGTTAACAGATCTAACCTTAATCTCAGGGGTTTCAACAGCAGATTCCTCATTTCCCGAGGTCTCATCTTCAGTACTTTCGCTGCTTTCATCACTGGAAGCCTTGATAGGTGGAGAGGCTTCAGATGATTCAGCTGCAGCTTCACTGTTTTCCTCAGGTGCAGGGGAAACTTTGGTGCTCTCAACCACTGGATCTTCCTCAGTTTTGGACATAACTTCTTCAGTTGGAGCAGCTGAAGGGGTCTTAACCTCAGTTTCTTCCACTGGTTTTGCTGCCTCAGAGGATTTCTCTTCCTGCGCTTTCAGCAAGTATTGCTGCAAATCCAGGAACAGGACAAAGTTTGTCATTTGCAGCAAAAAACTCTATCAGTAGCGAAGACAATCTCAATGCAAAATAATAAAGCCAAAGACTATTATTATGCGCTGAATTTTTTTGATAACAAAGTAAAAGACAGTTATTATAATATTAAATTCTAGAGAAACATGTCAAAGTGGAAGAGTTAAATAAGTTACAAGCTCACAACTAGGTGATGAAAAGCTGTTAGAACACATTTCACTACTCGATGATCAATTCGAAAGTGACAGCTCCAACAAAACAATGACGTGAGGGGGAGCAATTTCAAGAAGGTGCGCACATCGGAGGGAGAGGCACTAAGGGAACCATGCGAGAAGTAGTCGCTTCTTTGAATCCAAGTTAAACGATGAAGAAAAAGGAGAAAAAATTGACAAAAGATGGTTTTTTTTTTGCTATTTGTGTACTGGGACTCTTCTCTAGCATGCTTCAGTTCTCCTTGTTGTCCTTTCTTCTCCTCTCTTGTACGCTTGGGTTCTTCTTCCCCTCCTCTCTTGGTATACTTCAGTAGTGCTTCTTGTTCTTCTATTACTTTAGCTTTTGGGCTTATCTTAGCCTTTTTTCTTCTCCATTCCTATCTCGTTCTCTATTCTTCAAATTCTTGATTTATCGATAGATTGTTAGGAAAATAATAAGAATAACTCAAATCATACGATGTTTTAAAGAATATGCTCTTTAAATTCGCATGAAGTACATGTGCAACGTATATACACTATCTGTATTTATATATATATATATATATATATATATATATATATATATATATATATATATATATATATACACACACACATTTCTAAGAGCACGGAAATTTGATCCTAAACATAAATCAATAAGGCACTTGAGGACTTTTGTGGGGTAAAATTTCTTCTTTTATTGAGCTAGCTAGCTAATGTGATCAATACATTTCTTCGTGCTTTTATTTCATATTGTTATCAAATAAACTAATTAGTATGGTTTTACATAATTTGGTTATTGTATCATTGATATTAGTGTTGACATATTTTAATGGCCAAGCGAACATTATATCCAACAAAATTTCTTTTTTTTATAATGATCTTTTGATTTCTATTATATCTCTCATAGTTTTTTATCTATAATAGTTAAAATATAATTTTTAATATAATATTTATTTAATTGTTTTAAAACTTTTTACTCATTTAAATAGGGTACACGCGCAACGGGCGTACACTATTCTAGTAGGTGTATACAAATGTATAATAGTATATAAAAGGTCTTTATACACCCATATACACTATTATACACTATTATACAAAAATTGACTTCGTCGCCTACCTTACGCCTCTTCTAAAATTTAGCTCAAACCTACTCCAAATCACTTCAAACTTAAGTTTTGAACTCCTCTTGATGTTCCCAATCCAAACAACTAACAAACTCGAAAATTGAAGTTTCGAATAGTCTTCAATGGTGGACTTCTATTCGTTAAGTTTTCAATTAAACACAGTAAAGAGAAGATCGACTTCACCACCACATACAGAAACCATATACATTATAGAATTAATGAACAAGGTAAATTATGAATGAAAGCAAAAAACCTTATCTTGATTTGGATTTCTTCTTCCATGGTCTAGGACCATGATGATCTCTGCAATTTGGACTATAAAACTTTCCACCTAATTGGCTCATCCAAAAACTGAATACACTACCTCAACCAAACAATGCAGTTTCATCAGCTCAAAATCATTTCGAAGACGCCGAAGAGAATGTAAAAGGCAAACCAACTTTTGAGTATGGAGAGCTCGTTCTTGGTGTTGCCCATATTTTGGCATCATTTAGTGACACTTCCATTCGTGAGACTGTCTTTAATGTTGGGCTAAGGAATGAAATCTTTTATCAAGTTATACACAAAGTGGGCCAAACTAGGTAAGAAGGTAAAACACGGGCCAATTTTGGTAGCATCATTAACTGATAAAGAGAGTAATTTTTTCTTATGTTTATGATAGCACCAAGCAACCGTACCTCTTTATAAAACTAGATCGAGTAAGACCGCCCCAGCCAAAGACCAGGGGCTGATAAGGTTGAAATTTCCTTAAATTAAGCATAATAGTATATATTCAGTAATGCTTTGCTTCAGGATGACTTTAACAATTCAATTGCTTTTAAAACTTATTTCATTGTGAAGAAATTGTAAGAAAAAAGTAAACACGTTCACATTTTAGTAAAGATTTGTTACAAAGTTTCTTTATTAATAGTAATGTTAACTTATGATATGCTCAAATAAATTGGTCACAGACAGATCTTAACTCCTTACAGCTTTCTAATTGACAACTATTTTATGGAAATTCACTTTCCGTTGCATTTCTATACATGTTCGCGTGGCTATTCTCTCTAGAAATGAACAACACATATAGGTTTCCCATAAATCCCACACACTTAGGATATAAACTACTTTGCTTTTTTCTCTTTTTTCGTTCACTTTCTCGATCACTAGATGGACCTCAAATTCCATCAACTGATTATGTAAATCCAAGAAAGCATCAATCTTTTGACATAAAAACTCACATTCATCTTTGATCTTGTTATTCACTCACTATATATTCAAAAACACATTTCTTCACTCTCAAAAACACATTCTTCATTCTGCAAGAAAGATGGAGAACTTCCCGATTATCAACTTGGAAAAACTAAATGGGCTGATAGAGCTTCCACCTAGGGAATTAGGGGCGGCTTTCGGTCGGTTCGGTTTGATCGGTTTTCGATTTTTCATTTGGATGCACCAATAACCGAACCAATATTAGTTCGGTTTTTTCGGTTTTCGTTAGTTCGGTTTGGTCGATATTCGGTTTGGTTCGGTAGGTTTGAGGGCTTTTTGTTTGAGCTTTTTCTACTTAAAAATAGGTCTTTAAGTTTAATTTTTTTTCACAATTAGCTTTTTCTAGAAGTTAATTGGACATTTTTTCCAGTTAACTGGTCAAGTACTAATGAACCACAAACTCACAAAGATGAAAGAAGAATGAGACTATACGTTCAACTTTCCTATGAAACTCCTTGGAGCAATTTTTAATTTATTCTCATATCTATATAGCTAACTTGCAGTACATTTATAGCTATGGATATTATTTCAAATACAAATTTTTCCATTTCGTCAAAACAAAAATTGGAGACTAAATACGTATCATGAAACATGAATAGAAAGGAATACAACAGCAGAAGACAAAAGGCACAGCTTGGTGCTTATAGCTGCTATCTTTTGCTTTTCACATAAATTGGAACCCTAGTTTATGTGATTTGGTGTAATTGGACTCATTAAGCAAAGTCTTTGGACATAGGATTTTTTTTTGTAGTAGGAGCTAATCCAACTTCTTTTGTATTCTTTTGCATCTTATTGATGCGAATAGTATAACACCTTACTTCATCAAAAAGAAAATGGAGACACCATATTGAGTGAAAAGGTCCTTTTCTGCTGCACTAACAGACAAAAGGTAGAGGAAAGAGCGGGAGAGAGGGAGGACTTTCTTTTAAGGTTCTTTGAAAGAGTATTGTGAGCTATGCAGAATGAAGTTTTTGAGTGTATCTCTAATCATTCCCATGGTGGCAGCTCTCTCGGCACCATTCAGTTTTTCCAAGTTGATAATTGGGAAGTTCTCCATCAACTGCTCGTGTAAACCAAAATCTAGATAAGAAAAGACTCAAGCAAATCACTATAAAATGAATTTCTTTGAAATCAGAACTAGTTCTTATTTTCTATTTCCACAACTAAATGTCATTATTCAGTAAATTAATAATAAATAAATAAATTCTCAGTCACTAGAACAAAATTACAGATCAAGCTTATTTCCAAATTCAAAACTTCAAATAAATCATAAGTATTTCAAAAATAAAATTTATGAACAAAGATAGGATAAAATTGAACATCGTATGATCACAAAGCGCAAACCAAACAGCAAGCTGAAAATTGCAGCAGTATTTTGCTAATTACCTCAGATAGGGATGGAGCATTTGAGGTATCGACTTCGGCCATTGCTGGATTCAGCTGCGACGGCGCCCGATAGACCAGACCAATAAAATAGCAAAGCGCTTAGGTTTTTGGTAGAATGTTCAGCTCGGTCAGTATTGAGTCGATGGGAAAGTGATGCCGAGAGAAAATGGAGACGCCATCTCTTCTGCCGTCAGGAAAGGCTCACGTATCGAGGACTGGCCCATGGGCCTCCAAGTCTCTGTGGTTACTGGACTTGATCTGATTTGACTCAGTCCAGAGTTGGGTATAGACAGGATAGCCCTATCAGGTGGAGCCCGGAACCAAAATATTGCAAATTTTGACTCAACCAACAAAAAAAATGTGAAAAAAAGTGTTGAGTACCATATTATGTATTAACTCATCTAAAATATGCGCTATACCTTAACGGTAGTTAACTCGTTAAAGTATAGTAGTGCATGTAATAAATGCGTTATACTCAGTATTTGTATTCATAAATTCATTGCATAACGCATTTATTATATGCGCTATGTATATCCTCAGGTATAAAGAACCATTCCTCATGTCATGATAATTCACGAATTGAAATCACATGCCAAAGCTTCAGGTAATGATCTCCGTGTTTTTCTTTGTAAGAAGGAGAAATGGTTCATGCATTGGAATGTCATGTTGCGGAGGCTGCCTCTTATAGAATTCTCAATTCCTTTAGATTTATTATTATAGTACTATGTAGTCACATAAAATAATATGAATCATGATATGCGGAATTAGTAATATAAAAATATTTATAATAGCTAAAAATTCATATTGATAGTGTATAATGGTGCCAAAATGGATTAAAATAATAACTACCCATTCATATTATCCACTAAAATATATGTTGGATAATGAACTTTATAAAAATGAGTCAAATATGGATAATATTTCATATTATCCACTTAAAATATAGAGGAATTTTCAGAACCACTATTGTTTAGTGGCTATTAACTTCCAATAGCTACCATATACATAATTACTTCCTATAGCTATTATTCAGTTGTTATGGTAGTGTATTCACATGTATTCGCGTTTTTGTATTTATGAATACAAGAGCAAAAAGCGCCTAAAATCAGGGCAGTTCAGTTATACGCACATGTATTCACATATATTCGCGCCATGTATTCATGAATACAACATTAAAAAGCGCCTAAAATTAGGGCAGTCCAGTTCTATGCGTGTATTCACATGTATTCGCGCTGCTGTATTCATGAATACAATAGTAAAAAATACCTAAAATCAGGGCAGTACAGCTGTACGCGCATGTATTCACATGTATTCGCGCCATGTATTCATGAATACAGCAGTAAAAAGCGTCTAAAATCAGGGCAGTCCAGCTGTACGCGCATGTATTCACATGTATTCGCGCTGTTTTATTCATGAATGCAGCTTTACGCGCATGTATCCATATGTATTCGAGCCATGTATTCATGAATACAGTAATGGCAATCCCTTAAAAATAGGTATGTCCAGCTGTCTAAGAGAGAGGAAAAACATAAATAGCGTATTTCATGCCTCAATGGTAGTATATACCATAAAATATTTATTTTGCTATAAAATATAAAAGGTAGCTATAGAAAATAATATTTTAAAATAATTTTAGTTTATAATAAATAGGGTGTATAGGTTTGCTATAGGAGGTAAAATTTCCTAAAATATATACTTCATGGATAATCAATGGGTTTAAATTTTATATTTGTAAAGATTCAAATTGAGAGTTTTTCAAAATTGGGAGACTAGAAATTTTCATAAGTTATCACATTCTGGAAGCAATGGATAATATGTGTATTCATATTATATATCAGTTAGCCCATTTTCTATTCGTATTAAATATGACAAGCCAAATATTTTATCTTTTTTTATATTACCCGTTTTTAATTTGCACATATCCGACTCGACCCACCCATTTTTCACCCCTGATAGTGTATTCTTACTGATAGGTTATGAGTATATTTCAATGATATTTGACCTTACAATATCTTTTTTTCAAGATAAACAATCACAACACATGTGCGGTGAAACACCACGTCATAGAGGTTGCATATGGTGACATATAGGGAAAAAAACATGTTGCCTTTTTTATGAAGCTTTGGCATGTGATTTCAATTCGTGAATTACATAGCGCATATAATAGATGCGCTATGCAGTGAATTATTATGACTATAAATGTTGAGTATAGCGCATGTATTACATGTGCTATACTTTAATGGGATAACTGGTCGTTAAGGTATAATGCATGTTTTAGACGCGTTATACATAATATGGTCATCAATATTTTTTTTCACCTATTTTTGCCGCTTGAGTCAAAATTTGCAATATTTTGCGTCCGGACTCTATCAGGGGCTCGTCTTTAAACAGTGAAAATAGCACGGGCTAACCAGTTTTTGGATTGGTAATTAAAAAATAATCAGATTTAGTAAAGTCATTGAAAAATAGCTACTATTTTGCTGAAACACGAAAAGTTCCAGCATAATATGCTGAATTATGGAGCTCCCGCGTATAAACTTCCAGCATATTATGTTGGAACTCCAGCACACAGAAAGTTCCATCATAATATACTGAATTATGGAGCTCATACGTATAAACTTCTAGCATATTATGTTGGAACTCCATCACATTATACTAGAATTTTACATGTAAAAAATTTAAACTTCAGCATATTATGCTGGAAGTTTTCGGCCTTTTAAGTGTATTTTCGTTCAGATTTTATTTTTACATAAAAAAGTGACTAAACTTCGATCACTTTTGAATTTATGGCTATTTTTCAATTACCAGTTGTAATCTGCCTATTTTTGATTTTTTTCTCGATTCTTGGACCAATGAGAATTTCTTTCAATGATTTACCTATTTAGAGCAAGAGAATGGGAGGGGAAATGTGAAGAAACATATCAGTTGACAATAGAACAGTTACGTTTTTAGATGATGGATTTTCAGAAACCACTATAGTTTTGTAACGACTCGACTTGTCATTTTAAGAATTAACGCCCCGTTCAGTGACTTAAGGTCTCAAGAAGTTTCGCATTATGTATTATGACCCGCGAGTGTGGTCGAGTTTGATTTACTGAAGATTCAGAATTAAATTAAAAGAACAATCCTTATTTAGAAGCTTAAATGGAAAAAGTTGACCGGAGAGTCGACTTTTGAGCAAACG